TCCAGAACTGTCGATTTATACATCGTCAGTTAAAATTTCTCCATACACATAGAGGCCGTCGACAGGTCTGAATCTGCAGATCGCTTGAATCTCACGGTCGACTGAAGTGTATGGCGAAAAATCGACAGTTCTAATAGTACGTTCCCATCTTTTGACAGGTTTGAAATTTTGAACTATCAAGATGAGCGATTTAAGTAATAATACGACTTTTTTAACCGATTTTATTGATTTGTATAAGCAATTGCCCTGTCTGTGAAAAATTAAAAGTAAAATTTATTCAAACAGACAGAAAAATTGTTGGAATTTTACAAACTGTTGATACAACTATTGATTCTGTAAAGAAAAGAATAAACAATTTGCGAAGCGCTTTCCAAAAGGAACTTAAAAAACGCGAAAATCAAAGCGACCAGGTGAACCGTTTTTGTATTTTTCTTTGATATTTAGAGCTTACCCATCTTTAAAAGTTTATTAAAACATATGTCATTTATTCTGAGGCAGTTTTTAATGTCATCTGTTGCACTACTCGTAGTTCTTAATTTTCGCACTTTATATGAGATAATGTATCACGTTGTTCAACAATCTTTCACCCAAAGACGCTTTTTTGTCTTTGTAATTGGTTCTTGCAATAACAAAAGCACGAGAAGTGCATTTTTTGTATTTAAAAACATTTTTCACTGCAAGATCATTCGATTAAAACTGACGATATGTTTGTGTGTGTGGTGAAAGCACAGTTTTCCTTCAGTTCAAAAACTGACAGTCCCAAAACTGAAAATCGTATCGTTCGACGTAAGTGTATTGTGTGTGGCATGACAAAGTTTAGATTTAAAGATCTAAACTTTGTCAGGCCACACTGAACTGAAGTTCAGATCGTTCAGTCTTAGAACTGCCGGTGAACTCTATGTGAATGGGTACCTTAAGACGTACGTTGGCCTCCTCCCGTCCTTTAGCTGACAGTTGTAACGTCAGCTGTAATCCTTGACGGATTGTTTACATTAAGGATTTCGCCGATTTTAATTGAGAAAAAGGAGTCTTTAAAAAATTTTAGAACTATAGATTGTATAAATATTTTCATTTTGTGTTGTAGGTTGTGACTATATAAGTGCCTACGATATTGTTTATTAACTATTTTAAAGCAAAATATGGAAACAAAAAGAATGCCTGCAGAAGGTGACGCTTCGACAACTGAAAAAAATGTTAAAAATACCAAATTGAATAGTTACATATTACATATTATTATATTGTTATATTTTATGTAAATAAAACCACTTATGATTCTTTTGTCGCTCTGTTTGAAGAGTTAAAAAAGTTGATAGTGTAGGTCCATCAAATAATACGAGAATTTTTTTTGTATGTACTGAGTATTTGTTAGTGGGTTATAAGGAATATAGTTACCATGTATTAGATTAGAGATTAGCAATATTGTTTAATTTAATTCAAATGCAATTTATTTTAATTTAGTTCCAGAAGCACATACAAATGTTTGGTCACCGAATTGGAGTAAGATTTGAAATAACTTAGGCATTATCAATAGCATTGTTAGGAATAAATGCAAAATACATTAAAAAAAAATGCAAATGTGGTAACGTAATAATATTCTATGCCCTATTGGTACTATTTTAACGTCAATTCATGCAAATTTGCAAACGTCTAATATTTAATTTTAGTAAAGACCTAAAGCAAAACATTCATTATTTAGTTTATTATTTAGTTAAACACCTTATAGGTATGCAGTATAGAAAATTAACTATAAATCCTATTAAATACTCGGGTATGTGCATGTTTAAGAACAGCAGTTCCTGCATCACCTTTTGCAGGTCTTTTTTTAGAGTGCTTCCATATTTTGCTTTAAAATAATTAAAAGAATATCGTAGGCACTTAGTCACAATCCACAACACAAAGTGAAACTATTTATACACTCTATAACTCTAAAAAACTTTAAAAACACTCTTTTCACGATTAAAATCGACAAAATAATTGAGCGCGTTCAGGGATGGTCAGCGGCTGAGTGGCTGAGTAAGCGACTTCCCTGTACGGTCTATTTTTACACAACAAAAACAGTCAGCCGCTGAGCAAAATTCTCTGCGATCGGTTAGTGGCTGTGTTCCCTGAACGCGCACATTAACTTCCGTACGAATAGTAAAAAATCCGTCGAGGGCTACGACTGACGTCACAACGCGAGGAGTTTTCGCATGCACACATGGTAGACACTTTCGGCTGAATGAGCCGTTTTATTAGGTTAACAGTTAGTCATAAAAATTGACGATGTTGGTCAAGTTACCGATTTTAATGAACCTACAGTTTTTGACTAATTAACGGACATAAATTACGAAAATAATCACCGTTTTAGCCCTAAATACCTACTTACTCGGAGATGTAGGTAAACATTTATCCACTAAGAAATATACTCTAAAAAGAAATGTTTATTTTTTGTCAATAATGACATGTATTGACTATTTTTATTCTAAATATCTTGAGGACGGTTGCTTGTAGTGATTTTTACCAAGAGACATTTTTTTCGTAAAAAATCACGGAAATGAATATTTTTGCACTCAGTAGTTTTATACAGGTACGGACGAAAAGTTATTACCCTTTATCCACCTTTTTTTTACCACCTTATCCACTAAGAAATATACTCTAAAAAGAAATGTTCAAAAATAATTTTCCTGTAAAACTGAAGCATTAAATTTACTAAATATTTATATATTTTAAAATTTCTCAACAAATTTTAAAACTTTAAATTTCTCTACTGTTTTAGTAGTCGTAAAAATTATTTTAATAATCCAAACGCTCATCCAAACGTTTTAATACATTAAAAGATATTAGAAAGACAAAGGTCACATATAAATCAAAAATATATTTTATTTCGGCATAAAATTTCATGGCCTCCCTTTATTCACTTTGTCTCCCCTATTTGCTTTACCTCTTACGTGCCGATTTACCTCCGGCTTCCCCTGCTTATGTCGGGCAACTTTATCGCAGCAGTACTGGCGAGAGCAGATATGATTTAGCGCCAACTTTGCGCTTATTTATGCCGCTATTAAAAATCCGACACGTCGGTAGATGGCGCTTTCACGCAAAACGGTTTATAAGCATAGAGATTGTTTTTTAAAATACTTTCTTTCTTTTCTTTTCTTTTCTCTTTATCTAGCTAGATTTTTTTGAAATTTCTAGGACAAATTCTAACTATGTATTATTATTATTTTTTGTTATACAGGGTTGTTCACCACATATGACATGGAGTAATGTAGCTAAACGATTAGAACTTTTGGGTTTGTTGAAGCACTGAAGATACAGAGTGTCCTAAATAAATAGAAAATATCAACGTTGTATTTTTTTATACGGAACACCCTGTATATTATTACATTTTTAGCTTCTACGATTAAAATAAAGGTAAATTTGATTAAGGTTTATCACACTTAAACCTTACAGTTTTTGAAATATTTTCGATTTTGTGAAATTGCAATAAAATTAAATTTAAGGCTTCATTTCTGCAAGGGTATCAACATTTTTAATACTAAATATTTACTGAAGTTTATTTATTGATCAGTTATTGTGTTACAATAATAAAAATAATTTTACCTCATACAGAGTGTCTAAAATTTTATTTTAAATAATTTCTAGTTTTAAACGGCAATAACTTATTTAATTTAAATGGAACGCCCTTTATTTTTTAGGAGAATCAGATGCACATTTTAATTGTCTATCAAACTATTATACCACTTTTTACCTATCTCTTCAAGTTTTCGTAGAAAATGCATTTTCTTATAATTTAGACCTCATTTATCAATATATCCATGGAATATTGACATTTTAGATTGTTTTTAAAGCAAAAAATGTACAAAATGTACAGGTGCTAAAAATGATAATATTACTAGCCCATTCGTATACAAAAAGAAAACTATTTAAATCTTTATAAAAGATTATACAATTAATTAAATATAGCACTGTTATTTCCGCCCAAATATGAATTAGTTTCATACTTAAATGTGTTAGTTAATAAATTATTCTAAATAAATGTGGATTTGAATCAGAAGTCAATCAATAATAAGTTATGAAAATGAACGTCTCTGTTGTTATAAATAATCATTGGTCAAAAACGAAATACAATTTTTAAGGTCTTACTTTTTATAACACTATCCAATACACATACAAAATTCAGTTTTTTAGTATTTGGAGCAATTATTATTAATCAACAGTCAATTAAATGTAGTATGAATATTGGAATCATATTAATTGGTCCTCTTTAACAGTTTTTTTTATTTTTTAGTGAAATAAACGAACTATATCGGCAATATTAGTATCTGTACTCTTTAAAAGTTTGTTACAAAAATAATCTAAAATGTCAATATTCCATGGGTATATATTGTTAAATGAGGTCTAAATTATAAGAAAATGCATTTTCAACGAAAACTTGAAGATATAGGTAAAAACCGGTATAATATAATTTGATAGACAATTAAATTGTGCATCTGATTTTCATAAAATATATAGGGGGTTCCGTTTAAATTAAACAAGTTATTGCCGTTTAAAGCTAGTCATTATTTAAAATAAAATTTTTGACACTCTGTATAAGTTAGTATAATTTTTATTATTGCAGCACAAAATTTAGTAAATAGAAATACTTCGGTACAATATTTGGTTTTAAAAACTTAAATACGCATAGAGAAATGAAGCATTAAAATTATTACTGTTTTTTGACAAAAACCGAAATATTTACGGTAATATCAAAATGCGGTAAACCTTAATCAAATTTACTTTCATTTTAATCGTAAAAACTAAAAATGTAATAATATATATAGGATGTTCAATTTAAAAAAATGCAACTTTGATATGTTTTATTTATTTGGGACATTCTGTACGTTGTAAAAATATTTTTAAATTGTAGTTTTAATAGTCCTACTAATCGTTTAGCTACAATACTCCGTGTCGTATGTGGTGAACAACCCTGTAGTTCTTGCAAATTCTAAATATCATGCGCTAAAAAAATATTCATATCGACTTAAAAACCAAATTATATTTCTTTATTTTACATTAACAAAACATACTATAAAACATTGGAGTATCACCTATCCGGTGTTTCAGTAAATGTGGCATTTAACTCATAAACTTCTCCATTCAAATTGGCATAGACAGGAGTGGTGACAGCTGACACATGCTTTCTGTCACTTGAAGCAAAATTGACACTAAAAGAGTACTCTCCTCTCTCCCCTTTGTACACCATCACAGGCCTGGTAACGTAATATTTTTCATACGGTGCTTCAAGGTCTCTTCCAGGGTACACAAATACCTAGTAAACATATTTATGTTCAATTAATAAAAATTTAAAAAAACTAAAGCTTCATTCAGAACTTCGAAATTAGTGGAATAATATAAATTTTTCATTCCTAACCACACTTTCTCTTAACTGATGACAATTAAAGGCCAAAATGACATTACTCGCAACTTTTGGAGTATAATTAGTGGCGAAAGTTAAAAGTTTGTTACTTTTTTCTACTAATTGAAAACTGCTACCACTAATTTTGGCTTTCTGAATGCTTAGGCCTCATTCAGAACATTGCAATTAGTGTTTTCAATTACACTTTACACTTTTTAGTTTATTATTTACAATGTTTAATAGAATATCAATTACACATTTAAAATTAATAGAATATCCTAGCAATAGCTTGCATTAGTTAGTTGTATCCATAGAGAAACTCTAATATTTAGCTTATATATATAAAAATATATAAAACGATCAACTTTCGATTTATAACCACAATTTCTCTTGACGGAAGATAATGACATTTCTTGCAAATTTTGAAGTATAATTAGTGGAAAGGTCAAAAGTTTGATAACTTTTTCTACTAATTGAAAATGTCTACCACTAATTTTGACGTTCTGAATGCTTACATTGAAATTAAAGTAACATACTTCTACGTTAATTGAAACCACTAATTTATTCCACTAATTGCGAGGTTCTGAATGAAGCTTTACATTGAAATTAGGGACACAAACTTCTTTAATTTCAACCACTAATTTCCAGGTTCTAAAGCTTCATTCAGAACCTCGCAATTAGTGGAATAAATTAGTGGTTTCAGTTAGCGTAGAAATTTGTTCCTGTAATTTGATTGTACGCATTCAGAATATTAATTGAATTAGTGATAGGAATTTTCAATAAAAAATTAGTGGAAAAAGTTAACACACTTTTAACTTTTCTCCTAATTATACTTCAAAATTTGGCTTTCTCTACGGATACAATTGACTACTGCAAGCAAGCTGTTGCTAGGATATTTTATTAATTTTAATTGTGTTTTTAGACATTGTGAATGATCGTAAACTAAAAAGTATAAAGTGTAATTGAAACCACTAATTTATTCCACTAATTGCGAGGTTCTGAATAATGCTTTAGTTTATGATTATTCACATTGTTTAAAACACAGCTAAAATTAATAGAATATTCTAGCAACAGCTTGCGGTAGTCAGTTGTATCCATAGAGACAGCCTAATATTTAGCTTATAAAACAATAAACTTTTGATGTCCAACCACAATTTTTCTTGACGGGTGATACACAAAGACCAAAATGACGTTCCTCGCAAATTTTGAAGTATAATTAGTGGAAAAGTCAAAAGTTTCTTAACTTTTTCCAATAATTGAAAATTACTACCACTAATTATGACGTTCTGAATGCTTACATTAAAATTAGGTGAACAAACTTCTACGGCTAATTGAAACTACTAATTTTCTCCACTGATTTCGAGGTTCCGAATGAAGCTTAAAGCTTACTAATTGAAAATTACTACCACTAATTTTAACGTTTTGAATGCTTACATTGAAATTAGAGTAATAAACTTGTAGGTTAATTGAAACCACTAATTAACCACTACCCTAATTGAAACCACTAATAGGGGTTTCAATTAGCATAGACAAAACTACAACTAGTTTCGAAGTTCTGAATAAAGCTTAATAATGTAAAAAGTACACATCATTGTTTCACTCTGTGTATAAAAATTAATATTCTGTTTCATTTCAATACAAAACCAAGCAAGAAAAGATAAAATATGCTACAGCTGTTTGGTCTGGGCGTATATTCTTTCAAAAATATACAATCGAATTCAAGAATCACAATATATAAAACGTAGCGTTCGTTCATCTCAATCTTGGCGGAAAAAAAGGTTACTGGCCATTCGCTAAAGATCCCAAAACGATTACCATAATCGTAAATCGACGTGAAAAGTCCAGTCTGTCATCTGACCTCCCTATTTTACATCCCCAAGGGAAAATAAAGGCATTCTCGCCTTAGAAAATTCTATCTCGAGCCCTATAGAACGAAAACATAAAATAGATAGAATATAAACGATATTTTTCTCAAATATTTGAAGAATCTATTTTTTCAACGCCAGATCATGTCATAACTAAACACGTAACTTCCTTGTGGGCAAATAAATATAATTTATATTATCTACTACCTTACTCTAGTCAATTTATATGCTTTAAGGCACCTTGAACTCTCTACTATCTCTAGAATTAATTTTTGCAAGTTGTTTGTTGCTCTTGTAGAGCGTGTTAGAGAACAATTTTAAGAATTTCCAGTGTCGAGAACTCTGCCTTACCTGAAACTTTGATGTATTTAGGCATGTAGGGATTACGAGAAAGTGCAAACTTCGTCATTATAACTCTGTTGGATGTACTCCAAGAACAAAATATTCTGAGCAACGTTCTAAGAGTAATTAATAGGGGCTTCAAACTAGTTCGTTTATATCTACAAAACTAAGTTTTCTATTACAAGAAGATGATAAAATCGAAAATTATATAGAGAAGTAATTTTATACTTGATATACACTACAGCGTTCCTTGAAAACTCCGTAGATACAGGGTGGTCCGAATTGTATTCGGAAATCTTCGGCAGCATATTCTGCAGATAAAAATAAAAAAGTAAAAAACTTTTGTATTTTTTTCGAACTTTTCTACTTGTTTTTATCTACAGAATATACAGTCAAAGTTTCCCGGATATAATTCGGACAACCCTATATAAATCGAAACCACGTATATTGAAAGTAAAATGATAATGTGGTAAATTAAATAAAAGAAGGGAAAACCACAAAAGGGATGGTGTCCAAAAAGTTTTTTAAGCAAAAAAAATCTTTTAAATTTTCAATGTAAAATAACTCGCCTATTTTGAATTTATAGGGAAAACGACAAAGTGTAAATATATTTAAGAGTATATGTAATATTTATAAAAATATGTATTTGTAAACATAAATAAATGTCCCTATTCAGAAATACCCAATTAGTTTAATTTTTTCAACGTTTTTACATGTAAGTGAGACATCATTTTTATAAAAATTAAGAAGAAAAATAACAAAGAAATGATAAAATCACGCCTGGCAACTATTTTGCCGATATGACTGCACTGTTCTCCAGGCTCGGTCAGCTACCGTTTACTCGTAAAAAAATAGACGACACATCCCGTTAATAAAAATTTGAGAAACTTGCAAATTACCAATGTAATGAATGGGCGGAGTGTTTTTGCGGTGACATACTCATCAAATCCACGAGGACTCTCTGCCGGTTGTAAAGATCATACAAAATAAAAACCGTTGCACGTAATCGATGACGCTATTAAATGTGTGCAGTGGTGTCACTAGGAAATATAAAGTCTATATTTCCTAGTGATTTAAAATTTCCCGTCCGTCATTGTGTTGGCAATGTCAAGGAAGCGGTCCCAGTGGTGCCACGTTTATTTGACATTTGTCAGAATTTTCTGAAAGTTTTAGTTGAGAGTTGTATTTTGTGTCTTTTAGAGCTTTTAAAATCTTTATCAAGCAATCGGAAACTATTGTTTTCATATATTTTCAAGTCCTCCATTGTACTTAGAACCTCTTTTGAATAACTTTTAGCCATATTGACAATTTAAAACATTTTCTCGGATAATTTATAATGTTTATGCAGTAGTAGTGTTTTTAACATAACATTTTCTTAAATAAAATACTCTCAAATTAAACAAATTTTGTTCCTCACTCTAAACTTGCCATTCTCTAGATATCTCTCCACTCCAAAATGATTTATAAAGTTTTGAGTTCTAATTGAGCCAATGCATTAAATAAAGTATATTTTCCCGCAGTTGAAAACTGTTTTAAACTATATAACTAAAATTGAAATTTAATTGACCAAAGTCAAATTATAAACTTCAAACTCCGTAAGAACTTTATAAATTACCTAGAGTATCCAATAACGCAAAATAAAATACTCTGTCAAATAGTTATAAGCAAATATACATAATTAGAGATATATTTGAAAATGGCATTTCTATTTAAACTTTGTTCTATTGTAGTAATTGTAAACTAAATAGTAAATTATTAGAACAAAAAGGACACTTAATTTCGATGATTCATTTTCATTTTGTTTTGTTATGCTCAAACAAGATTTTCTAACTCACCTGATAATAATATCTGCCTATTGTCAAAGGAACATAAGGCTCTTTCCAGTAAATCAAGAAGGCGTCATCATCTTTGTTAACTGTCACTTTTAGTTTGAATGGTTGCAGAGCCTGTGGTACTTCGTAAAAAAAAGGCCCTACTGCTTTGGATCCTGGGAAATTAGTTGAAACTCGAATTTCGTACATATCACCATAATTTACTCTGAAAAATGATATACTATGTTACTGTATTATATTTTTATGACAAATCTACCGAAAAAGAGAATATTAAAAGTACTGTTAGTACTAGGGTTTACAATTTTCCCCCGTTTTGAAATTCCGGGATTAGAACCTACACTGAGAGAAAAAACATTGCAAAATTAAAAAAAAATGCTAATGAATCAAATAAAATCAAATATATGTTGGCCTCATTAATGGTCATAATTGAATTAATAGGACTAATTAATCTATTGAGATTTTATGCATATACTCCTACATACAGGGTGAGTTTCCTACGATGTTCTCTATGGGTATCTCAGAAACTACTGGAGATAGAGAGTCGGTTAAATAGGGAAAGAATTGCAGTTTTGTGGGGCCATAAATATGTGCCTTTCAGATTTTTGAAAAAGTTCATGGCTTACTAGATATTTCGAAAAAAACAAATTTCGGCTATTTTAAAAATTATTCCTAATTCCATTATAATCTATTTTAGACAAAAAGTTTTCAGATCAAAGTTGTAGATAATCACATCCTTAATGATACTGTGTCCTCCGTTCTCTTCTAAAGCCTGTCATTTTTGACATATGACACAAACATATGTTTTTGTAAATGGAAACCATAGTAGGTCATGACTTCATAAAAAGCGCCATTTTTAAAGCTTTTCAGCGATATAAGCTATAATATGTTTTCTTCGAAAAATTACTGAGTTATAGCCAGTTCTTATCATTTTTAAACAATTTCACTTGGTCAGCCATGGAAACAAGTTTAATCGTGTTTGCTCTCAGAAATGTAAAGCTGTTACATCCAAACTTTGTAAATTAAAATAAGTAAAAATTGTAAATATGAATTTTTCAAATGAACAAAAGCGTGTAGGATTATTGGTTTAACTTTTCTTGACCATACATTTTCGAGGATGCGTTGACCGGTGAATGTTACATTTTTTAGAGATCGGTTTTCAAGACATGTTAGAAAAGTTAAATTTAGTTATAGCCAATTCTTATCTTTCTTGGCTAATTTCAATTAGATTGCATGGTATTCTTGTTCTGTTATGATTTATAACTTATAAAAAATATATTACTAAACGGTCCCTTACAATTTACATTACACAAACTAAAACTTAAAAAAAATAATGTCACTGCATACACTTTAAGTTATTTTAGACAATGTTCAAAAAATCCGCCACTGTTTCGAGTTGCATCTTTTTAAAACTGAATTACTACGTATTCTTTCAGGACCGGTCGACTTAATTAAACTTCTCTCGTACCACCACTTCGAGTGCCTCTCTTAATTCATAAGTTCTTTTGTAAACCTTATTGTTTACCATACCGCATAAAAAATCTAAAATGGATAGGTCAGGTGATCGAGGAGGCCCATGCAATTTGTCTACCTCTTCCTATCCCTGAGTATGCATAATTATGATATAAATAGATATAAATAATTTTTAACATTTTTTTCATTATGGGGGGGGGGGTTAGAATGAAAGTCATTATAACCCCCCGTATTGATGCGCGAGTATCTACACGCTTTTCTTCATTTGAAAAATGCATATTTACAATTTTCGTTTATTTTAATTTACAAAGTTTGGATCTGACAGCTTCACATTTCTGAGAGCAATGACAATTACCTAACCAACTTGTTTCCATGGCTAACTAAGTGAAATTGTTTAAAAATGATAAGAATTGGCTATAACTCAGTAATTCTTCCAAGAAAACATATTATAGCTTATATTGCTGAAAAGCTTAAAAAATGGCGCTTTTTATGAAGTCATGGCCAACTATGGTTTCCATTTAAAAAAACATATGTTTGTGTCATGTGTCAAAAATGACAGGCTTTAAAAGAAAACGAAAGACAGTCTCACTAAGGAGGTGATTATCTACAACTATTATATGAAAACTTTTTGTCTAAAATAGCTTATAATGGAATTAGGTACAATTTTTAAAATAGCCGAAATTTGTTTTTTTCGAAATATCTAGTAAGCCATGAACTTTTTCAAAAATCTGAAAGGCGCATATTTATCACAAAACTGCAATTCTTTCCCCTTTAACCGACTCTCTATCTCCAGTAGTTTCCGAGATACCCATAGAGAACATCGTAGGAAACTCACCCTGTATAAATCATACGTGATCATTGTTATTGTTAGTGGTATATCAGATTTAAAATAAAAATGCTGCCTATTTGATTTAAAGAAATATATATTTGTTTATTAGTGTTTTCCTTTTATTTTTCAAATACATTTCTTTTATTTCAAGTTTTTCTCTTTATATTTTGAAGTGCAATGCTTAATGATTTATTAATATATCACTTTGTTTAAAGCTTGAGTCGATTTTAATCGAATAGGATCAGCATTAACAATTTAAATGAAATAAATATCAAATTTATTAGTAAAATAACTTTATTTCGGAATTAATCTTTTGCTGATAAGTAGGTAATACAATTGTGTTGAATGTCTTCCAAAATAAAAAAAAAATTAATAGATACAAGGGTATCCCGGTGAATTTTGTCTAGTGACGGTTTTTGTACTGTCCTGGAATGGATCGGCCTTTATTAGATTCCTTCAAAGGTCACAGAGATTCTAAAAAAAGAAAGCAACGTTTAGTTAGGTTAGGTTAGGTTGATTATTCTAAACAGCTACTAAAACAACACATTACCTGTACACGATACAATTCTCCTTTTTGTCACTAACAACTGTCATACACACAATAAATACCATTGTCAAAATAATGGAACGCGACAAAGTCATATAAAAATGTGTGGTTGATCGGACTTATCCCGTCAATCTCGCCAAACACCATCTTTCGATGTCCATCTGGAATGATTTTCTATTGGAGAGAATTAATTACGTGGCAAGAGCCTACCAGAAATATATTTAAACTGTTAGCAATTCTTATAGAAATAAAATACTTTCGTGTTTAAAATAAATTTATTGTAAGGACGTGTTATTGGAATAAATAGAGTAGCAGCACTTTTCAAAAACAATAAGGCAATGCCAGTTTATTTTGACCGTAGTTCTTTTAAAACTTATAGGGTTATAATTACTTTAAGAGGACTAAATATTAGATATCCGATAAAATAGTATTCACTTTATTTCGAATGCTTTAATTTTTATTATGTACGAATATAGAAAACAATATTATTTTATCAGCAATCTTTTATGAAACAAATAATTAGGTAAATCGAATTCCATAGAACGAGTTAATTATTTTAACGTGATTTATTGTGCATTTTACAATGTATTTTTTTTCTGATTGTATAATACCGGGATCCTGGGTTCTGATGACTGGCTATCAGAATGGGGAATTTAATTTAAAAAATAATAGGTTCCCAGTTTTTGGATACTTTCCCAACCTTAAGGAAAAGTTCCCGGAAAATTCCCTGAAAATAGAAACTTTTCCCTGAAAACATTTCCACCGGCATGCGGGGTATCACTAGTCCTGAGTCTTACAGCGATTGGTAAGTGATGTTTGGATAAGTGTAAGTACTTATCTTCTGTATACTCAAGTCCTGGCATTTCCAAGCTTTGCTCAATAAATTTTTTTAATATATTTAATAACTTAAAATTAATAAATAATTATTTTTCAAACATGTTGTTTTAATCGAAATTTAAAAATAAACCAGGCTCGCGACAATATAAAAGAAATCTGTAAAAAGAATTGGTGGGTTCAAAATTCACTTACGGCATGCGGTATACTAAATCGGATCTTTTTGTTCTGGCTAGTGTCACCACTTTATATTTGACAAGCTTTTTATCAAAAATAGAGAGCTAAAAATAAAAGGGAGGGTTCATCAAAAATTCGTCCATAAAAAACTTTCAGCATTATAAAATAGCAACTCTCTACTACAACAAAAAGCACAATACTTTACTAAATTTAATTTTTTATTATGCTATACTAGGTAGCTCTTTAAATATAAACTTTAATTAAATCCTGGTTTACGTTCTATTCAGAATTAATTAGTTAATTTAGTCTGTTTTTAAACCAACTCTAACGAAGTACAGAATATACGTTACAGTAGTGGTAAACTATCTTAAAACTTCTGGTTACAAAAAAGCTGCAATAATTTTACAGAGAGATCAAAACAATACTATTGTATAAAAAAGATTAATCAAATGTTACAGGATTGTGAAATAAACAGATATTTCCATTGAATTAAAAATTTCAAATTTACAAAAATAAAATCAGATTAACAATAAATTAATGTATTTTTGAAAGTTTTTTTTAACAATTTTTTCAACGTTTTGGCCAATCTGAAATCTTAAAAAATATTCCCTATTCTGCCAAATAAAGGCCAGCAAGGAAAACTTTTTATTTTAACTAAGATTTTCTAAGAAACATTTGTTATTCTGGCGTTTCCCAAATCACGCTGTGAGTTTCTTTCGTGAAAAATAGTTTTTAAGTTGGGAACTAGTTTTTGCGAAACTTTTCTTTTACCCATTTTCTATCCAGATTGTTTTGTCCCAAGTTCATTTCGTTTTCATTTAACATGTTGAGTTTATTTCGCGCCGTCTTGAATAAATTATATATTTTCAGTGGGCAGAAACTACTATTAACTGACAAACCGAACAGAATGGGGAATTTAATCTAAAAAATAATTCATTCTCTGATTTTGGGTACTTTCCCAACCTTAAGAGAAAGTTCTCGGAACGTTCCCTGGAAATGTGAACTTTCCCCAGAAAACATTTTTACAGGCATGGGGCATATAACTAGTCCTCAGTCTTACAGCCTGGCTGAGAATTAAAGTCTTACAGCGGTTGTTCAGCGATGCTCGGATAAGTGTAATTACTTATCTTCTGGATACTCAAGTCTTGGTATTTTCAAACTTCGCTCAATAATTATTTTTTTAATATATCTGAAAATTGATAAATACTCGTTTTTCAAACATGTTGTTTTAATCGAAATCCAAAAATAAAACGGGGTTACGACAATATAAAAATATTTTGTAAAAAGAACTGGTGGGTTCATAATTTACTTACGGCATGCGGTATACTAAATCAGATCTTTTTGTTCT